GAGGTTCAATGCAGTATGTTTGTTTATTTAGTAAAAAACTGCTATTTATGTGGTATTATGATAAGGGGTGTGGAATGATAAAAAAACAAAAAAACAATAGACATCAAAGAGGTCCATTCTGCTTCTCAAAGAGGATGTAGTATAGTAGACAATCTATATATATAAAAGCCAAGCGACCGGAACGACTGGTGACTGGTCGCTGTGACGTGCACTGTGGCCGGCCAACCAGCCAGATTGGGGGTGGGCCAGCCGGCCACCATCCTGTGGCCCCTACCCCTGCACCGATCGGGGTGGGCCAGCTGGACCCCACCCGTGCACAAATTCATGCACTGGGCCTCTACTTTGGTACATAAAATACAACGTTGAGTCATAAAAATCATATTAAATGCTATTGGAATTCAAGCAAGCAAGGAAAGCTTGCTTCTTTCTTGGTGTTGGTGGTAAGGTTTTTTGAAGGAAGGACTCTTGAAGTAGGCCTTAAAAGATGGATAGGACTTTAATAGAAGATGGAAGGAAGAGAAATTGCTCAGTAGATGAATCTGTGGGAGTAAAGGCATGGAAAGAAGCATTAGGCAGATTCAGAAATTGATAAGAAAGGCAGGGTTTCAGGCTAAGAAAGGTGAATTAATTCAGTAAGAATACTATCAGCTGTATATTTAATTCTGCAAATATTTATTAAGCATCTGCTATTGCTATGTTTGTGCTAGGTAGGACTATGAAGACACAGTAATCTCAGTTTAGTTAGGGAAGATAGATGATCTAATTATTCTAATGAGATATGATCAAAAGCTGGTAATCACAGGACAAGGAACATCTTCAGCTGCCTGACTTCATAAGGGAAAACTTTATATAGAGATCTTGTATATCTGATGCTTTGAAATGAAGTATCTCTTTGCTTAGCAGATAAAAGAGGTGAAGAGAGGAATGTCAGAGAAATATTTCTCTTTATGTGTTTTGGGATGGCTTGGCAAGGCCTTTGTATGCAGTGCAAGGCTGTGAAGAGTTTTGTAGAGGGGTAACTGAAAGATGCAGATGGCAGTATGGAGAGTAAATTGGAAAAGATAGAGACTAGAGGTAGGGAACCTGGCCAAAAGGATATTTTGGAAATGATGTTTTATGGTTTTGGTCTCTATACTAATTGGGCCAAGTGAGAGATGATGTAAGCCCTAATGTGAAATGGTAACTATGGGGATAAAGAGCCTGGAAAACTGGAGAGATGCTTATATGTAGAATTAGCAGGTCTTGGCTATCAATGGATATGGAAGAAGGGAGGAAAGGAATATAGAATGACTTCTGGATTTCTATTTCAGTGAATGCCATTGCCTAAGAATAAGATACATTTAAGGAGAAAGGAGGGTGGGTTTGGAGAGGAAACAATAGTTTTAACTGTATTGTGTTGAAGGTGCATATAGGATAGTTGGAAGGGGGAGGATGACTTGGTGGGGTAATCAATAGTTAAGTGATAATTAAAGCTATACATAAGCATAAATTAAATTATTGTGGGAGAATGAGTATAGTGAAGAAGATAACCTTAAAGAGCACTGAGAATCCTAGAAGTAAGAAAAGAATCAGGAAAAAAGTAGTGGAAGTAGTTAGAAAGTATTTTTTAAGGGTGTGATCAACATTGTCATCACAGATATTGATATTTTTCTTCCCTCCTTTCTCCCACTGCCCAAAATAAAGGAAAGGTAGATCATTGGTCACCTCAATAATTACAGTGAGGGGTAAGAGCCAGAATTTGGCTGCAATTGGAAGAGGTAAAAATACAATATCAAGGTACCATCATTTGCATGTTTGTTTGTTTTTTTCTGGTCTGTTTTTAAAAAGCTTAAAGACGAGTTAATTTATGCCTTGAGACGAAATAGCAAATGGACTATTGCAACAGAAATGCTCAGCATAGTGCATCTGAAACTTTATTGAGGGTCTTATTAAATGCAGGTTCTGTGTCAAAGGGTCTATGTTGAGGCCAGAGATATAACATTTCTGACAAGCTTTCAGATGATGCCAGTGTTGCTGGCTATAGACCATACTCTGAGGATCTAGAGCAGGGGTGGGCAAACTTTTTGACTCGACCAGATGATGCCAGTGTTGCTGTCTATAGACCATACTCTGAGGATCTAGAGAGTATGAGATTGATAGCATTTTAGAGGACTTAGCCTTGGACCTCTACTAAGGTGGAATGTAACTTGGATAGAGATAAAGATTACATTTGCAGGCAGAAGACATGCTTTTGATAATCTTTTTATTTTTTTCTGTGAAATAGAAGTACAGTGATGTTAAGAAAAGACATTGGGAATGGTAGGTGAACTTGAAGAAAGTTGTGAAGGTTTGGAATAGGTACTGAAAAGAGAAGGAAAGTGAGTGGATTGGAGACATGCAATAATCACTGAATAGTGAGGATTACTTTGGTTATCATGTCTATAGAAATAATTGGAGCAGGGAGAGATTAGATATGTGAAAAGATCAGTTATTTTTAATAAGTTAAAGAAGGAAGCCTACAGGGGAGGTAATGAGGTCTGAAATAGAACAGTACCCTGGAGAATTGAAGATGAGGGTGTGTAGTCTGAATAATGCCACACCCCTCCCCAAAGATATTCCTGTGAACCTGTGAATGTTATCCTACATGGCAAAAGGGACTTTTAAAGATGTGATTAAAATAGGGAACTTGTGATGGAGAGATGATCCTGGATGGGTACTATGTAATCACAGGGTCTTTTTTTTTTCTTTCTTTTTAATTGAATTTATTGGGGTGCCCGGTTCGAAAAACCATACAGGTTTCAAGTGTACAACTCAATAAAACATTATCTGCGCACTGTATTGTGTGCCCATCGCACCAGGCGAAGTCTCTTTTGGTCCCCATTCCCCCCCACTTTGTCCACTTCCACCTAGCCTCCACCCCCTTTCCCTCTGGCTACCACACTGCTGTCTTGTCTATGTTATGTATCTATGTTTTTTTAAAAATATATTTTTGTTGATTTTAGAGAGGGAAGGAGGGAGGGAGAGAGTGGGAGGGGGAGAGAGAGAAAGAAACATTAATGATGAGGGAGAACAATCGATCAGCTGCCCTCCTGCACTGTGGGGACCAAGCCTGCAACCCTGGTATGTGCCCTGACTGGGAATCAGACCGTGACCTCCTGGTTCATAGGTCAACACTCAACCATCGAGCCACACCGGCCAGGCTGTATATATGATTTTTGGCTAATCCCTTCATCTTCTTTCAGTCAGTCCCCACATGCCCCACCCCTCTGTCAGCTGTCAGTCTGTTCCAAGTATTTATACCTCTGTTTCTATTTTGTTCATTAGATTGCACATATAAGTGAGATCATATGGTATTTATCTTTCTCTGACTGGCTTATTTCATTTAGCGTAATGCTCTCCATACTGTCACAAAGCATAAGAGTTTATTCTTTTTCATGGTTGAATAGTATTTCATTGTATAATTATACCACAGCTTTTTCATCCACTTATCTACTGATGGGCACTTGGGCTGTTTCCAGATCTTGGCTGTTGTAAATAATGCTGCAACAAACATAGGAGTGCATATATTCTTTCACATTAGTGTTTTGGGATTCTTAGGATATATTCACAGAAGTGGGATCACCAGGTCAAAAGGCACTTCCATTTTTAATTTTTTTGAGGAAATGACATATTGTTTTCCACAGTGGCTGCACCAGTTTGCATTCCCACTAACAGTGCATGGTGGTTTCGTTTTGTCTACATTCTAGCCAGCACGTTTGTTGATTTATTGATGATAGCCATCTGGCAGGTGTGAGGTAATATCTTATTGTAGTTTTAATTTGCATCTCTTTGATGATTAGTGATATTTAGTATTTTTTCATATGTCTGTTGGCCATCAGTATATCGTATATCTTCTTTGGAGAATTATCTATTCAGGTCCTTTGTGTATATATATATATATATAATCTCCTATATAATAAAAGCCTAATATGCTAAGTGTCTGGTCATCCAGTCGGCTGTTCAACCAATCAAAGCGTAATATGCTAATGATACGCTAAGCCCTGTCAGCTGCTCGCTATGACGTGCACTGACCAACAGGCGGCAGTCGATCAGTCAACCAGTCGCTATGATGTGCACTGACCACCAGGGGGCAGATGCTCCGACCAGTAGGTTACCTTGCTGCTGGGGTCCGGCTGATCAGGACTGAGTGATATGTGCCGGACATACTCTGGAGCCCTACTGTAGTCTTTCTCTGGCTGGCCAACCTCCCGCATCCCTCCCCGGCCCCGATCATGCACCAGTGGGGTCCCTCAGCCTGGCCTGTGCACTCTCCCAATCCCGAACCCCTTGGGGGATGTCAAAGAGCCGGTTTCAGCCAGACGATGTAACAACCAGTTGCTATGATGCACACTGACCACCAGGGGGCAGATGCTCAATGCAGGAGCTACTCCCTGGTAGTCAGTGCGCTCCTACCAGGGGAGCACTACTCAGCCAGAAGCCGGGCTGATGGCTGGGGAGTGTAGCAGCAGTGGCCGGAGCCTCTCCCACCTCCGCAGCACTGCTAAGGATGTCCAACTGCCATCAGTC